AAAGGTGCAATTTAACTTTACATTACGCAGACCCGAGGCACAGCACGTCAAACGGACAGGTTGAAGGGGCATATTCTACATTAACAGAATTAGCTCGATGCATTAAAGAAGAATTTAATTTAACTGACTTTTCCGAAATAATAATAAGAGCCGCTCAAGAATATAATCAGAGCATTCATTCTACAACGAACCAAAAACCTTTTGACGTATTATATAATAAAATAGAGCACGATAACATTCCTGAACTTTTAAAAAATACTCAAGAGAAAATGTTGGAAACACATAATGAAAACAGAAAAGAAAAAGAATATCATGTAGGACAGGTAGTCTATGAAAAGAAACACGGGGAAAGAAATAAACTTAAAACCAGATATAAAAAACAAATAGTTAAGGAAAATTTACCCAACAAAATAATAATCAACAATAGAAATAGAATTATTCACAAAGATAATATAAAATTCTAAGTATTTATATATTATCCTTTTTTTCTTTCCTTTCCCAGAAAATGTTTTATCAGGTGCTCATACTACACCTTATTTTATTAACAAAATCAGAAATAATTGACTATACAAGTCACGAATATCTTCTATTTAAGGACAATAAAGACGTATTGACGTACGATTCATACGCAGATTTATTCCATGTAACTAACTTAAGCTTTTATAAAGAAATAATACATTTGGAATCAGATAATATTAAAAGGGATACTAATAAAAGGTCACAATGGGAAATTAAATATGACATAAAAGTAATCGAACTAATTTTATCGCAATTAATATCAACTAGATCAAAAAGAGGGATAAATGAGTTAGGCACCGTGTGGAAATGGTTAGCTGGAACTCCGGACCATGATGATTTTATTACAGTTCAGAATAAAATTAATGAATTAATTGAAAACAATAATAAGCAGTCTATTATCAATTCCCGATTATTCAAAGAAATATAATCTCTTTCCGATGATTTTAAAAAAGTATTTATTGATCAAGATCTACCACTTCGAAAACATCGCTTGCGATTATTAACATTTGATCTGCAAAATTTAATTGACACAATCACTCTAGCAAAAATAGACGTTTTTAATACCAAAATTTTAAACAATGATGACATCTTGGAAATATTAAAACATGAACCAAAACCAGTAATTATAGCTGATTTAATGGACATCTCTTCTTTTAAAATAGCATTGCATAAAGAACTTTTAATAATTTATATAAAATACCCAATAATAAAAAACAGATGTGAAATATATCACGCTAGAGCGATTTCCCAAATCGATGGAAAACTAGTTTTAAGCAATCAAGTCGCAAAATGCGAAAATGTTTTTTACGAATAACTTTTTAACGTTCTTACGAACTTTTTAATAATTTTGCACTCTAAGTAACAAAAAAACTTGTTTTACCCGATTATTAAATGGTGAGAAATCAACCTGTAAAAAAATAAGAGAAAAAAATAAAAAAAATAGACATCATACAATATGGTGCCATTCTTATAAATGGGAACAATATTGTTAACAACTCCCATTTAAATGGTTCGTTTTTAATAACATTTAATTGTACAACTAAAATTTACCAATTTGGAAAATAAAATTCTTGAATACGTAACTACGAACCATTTCAAAAATTATGAAATATCCGATTACATATTATCAAATAACTCTGATCTTTCTTTAGATAATATAAACATTTTAAACCCTTTCGTTAAAATTAAGAATACTTAAATATCGCTTACCTTTATATTATTTATTTTAATCATTATATATTTGATTCTTTCACTTATTATAAAATACAAAAATGCTATATTATTTGTAACCAAAAAACATCGGCCTGAACCAGAAAAATCTATTAACCAAGAAAATTTTTTAACAGAATTAAGAGATCATTTAAACGAATTTCATATTGAATCGGGACAATCCATTTTAGAAGGGGGAGAGTTATCCAACCCCTAAATACAGGCCACATATGGCTTTTATAAACAATATTTTCAATCTCTGCATTTGCCTTTGGCTTGATCTTTGGCTCAATTATCCAACCCATAAATCCAGGCCACTTATGGCTTTCCACTTATGAATTTTATAAACAATATTTTCAAACTCTCCATTTGCCTTCGGCTTTGTCTTTGGCTCTGAGGCGCGATCTCGGTTCCCCATAAACAAATCAAAATCAAAAGTAAACATCAGCTTCCCTCCGAAGCCCAATCAATTACGCCTTTTGCGTTTCAAGTACCCACCAAATTGCATCGATCAGCGTAATCGAATTTCACAATAAGATGCGACAGTTTCATCTTAAGCCTCTAATCTAAACACAACTGATGGCCGAGGTTCTTTGGATAAGATTTAGAATTAAGAAGTCAGTCCTATTTTGACCGAGACCGCGAACGGTTGACAAAAGTATTTAAGAAAAAACCAAAATGTCTTGTAATTTTTGCGTTTAATAAATAAAGGTTTAACACCAAGTTGTGAAATTAAAAAATAAAATTTTCATTTTTTTAATTCACCGAACTACAAACAATTTAACTTGTACACATTTGGGTTATATGTGTTAGATATACACAAAGATATGTTATAGAAATTAGACTCAATTAGACTCGAGTGGTCAGTTAGTGGCCTCCCGCATTGCCGCCTCAACCCAACCTGGCCTAATTTATTCGAACAAAAAATTTACCTTTTTGTGAACACAAATAACTTTCATACACAATCCGAGCTCTCTTACTCAAAAAACATCAAAGTTATAGCATTTCCGATCAATCAGTTATATGGCAGCTATAGGATATAGTTAGCCGGTCTCTACCGTTTCGCCTTATATACTGCATGCTAAGGAAAGAAGGGTAAAAAACAAGTTTCAAAGTATGCAAAGTTTCAAGTCGATAGTTTAAAAACTGTGAGACTAGTTTTCGTAGAAACAGAAAGACGGACAGACGGACATGCTCATATCCACTCAAGAGGTGATCCTAATCAAGGATAAATATACTTTATAGCGTCGGAGATGTCCCTTTCACTTCGTTGCACTCTTTTGGATCGATTCATTATCGAACTACCGAACTGAGCGGACGTGCTTTGCCCGAGGTCTGGGAAAACTGCAACGTAATAGTTTTTTAATAAAATAATAAAACAGTTAACGAAACAAAAAATCTGGGGTAATCCAATATAAGCGAAAAGACGCTGAACCACTATTTATTGAAAGCAATAGACAAGTTTTTTATAACAGTTTTGATGTGCTAAGTAAAAGTGCCAAGCAATGAGATCATTTAGGAACGATTATAAGAACGAGCGTAGAAGCTCAGTGAACCAAAGAAACGGTTTCTACTCTTACTTTTCAACACGCGATACCGAAATGAAAAGCAACCCGGCTCTACTGACCGCTGAAACCCAAAGGGCACGATCTTGCTCACCCGCTCTGCTCACTCCGACTCCCGCATCATGGAGTTTCTCAGTGTAAAACCCCCCCTCCAATATCGGAAACAAATTTCGCACCAACAACAAGCAGTGCTATAATTTCTGCAACCACATCGACAACCACTGCAATTTAAATTACCGCGACGTCAACGACTACAGCAAGGACAAAAACAACAACTTCGGAAAGTGACAAAGCGGCCACACAGACTGGAATGGATCGCAACATCCAAATTAAGCGCAAGCTTAGCTCCAAAAGTGATCCGGCAGGCAATAAAACAAAAATTTACCGCGTCCAGAAGATCAACGAAGAACCAGGTAGATCCAGCAGTAACATATTTGCCCTACTAGCGGAGGTTGAGGAAAACCAACCAGCCCAAGACACATCTGCAAAGTGTTTTCCAGCCAAACCCAGCTTCAAATTCATTCCTTCCGCCATAAATTCAGCCAGAGGCTTCCCTTCAGCCAACGACACCATCATTTTGGCCGAACGAAATCGGATAGTCATAAGAGGGCTAAAACCAAAAAAGGCTCCCGGTGGTGACCTATTGACCCCAAAGATACTGATCGAGCTTCCTATAGAGATCGTCTGCAAACTATTTAATGGAATCATTAATCTTGGCTATTTCCCAAAAAAAGTGGAAGAAATCCATCATTATAATGATACCGAAGCCTGGAAAAGATCACACAATTCCGTCATCCTACAGACCAAGCCTTTTACAGACCAAGCCTTTTATCTTGTTTGTCTAAATTGTTTTTAGACCAATTTGGCACACCAATTTGGCTTCCGAAGAAACCACGGAACCATCGAACAAGTGAACAGATTAACATCCGAAATACGCTCAGCTATTTCCTGACGCTTTAAAATAAACGAAAAAAATTGTAAACATATAACGTTTACTCTTAATAGACAAACATGCCCTCCGCTTTTACTAAACGGTATGCAGATCCCTCAAGCTAACGAAGTTGGCGTTCACCTTGATAGACGACGTACGTGGCATAAGCACATTGAATGCAAGAAGATGCACCTAAAACTGAAAGCCAGAAGCCTCCACTGGATCATAAACTCACGTTCGCCACTGTGTCTGGACTACAAGTTACTACTGTACAATTCAGTCCTAAAGCCAATCTGGACGTATGGCTCCCAGCTGTGGGGGAACGCGAGCAGCACCAACATAGACATCATACAGCGCGCACAATCAAAAATCTTGAGAACTATCACAGGGGCCCCTTGGTATGTTCGCAACGAAAACATCCACAGGGATCTGGGCATCCTCGCAGTGAAAGACGAAATCCAGAAGCAAAAAGAGTCTTACAAAGAAAAACTGTCTTTGCACCGAAATTGTCTCGCTCCTGGATTGACCCGGGTTTCTAGCGTATTGCGCCTGCGACGCAACGACCTCCCAACCCAGCAATCGATTTTTAGGGCCGTTTAACTCTGTATCAGTCAATATGACTGTTAGTTAAGTTAAAAATATAAGATTTGATACACCTATTGTTCGTCTTGCAAAGAGAAGATTCAAGAAATAAAAGCAACGTTTAAAAAAAAACTTGTGGACGAAATTATAATATCCTCTGCAAGGGTATAAAAATAACATATAACAAGACGTACCTTCTGCTTTTTTGTACTGTAAAATATACTTCAATATTGGTTGCGAATTTTCCATGACTTCATGCGATAGATTAGATTCTTGACTAATTGAAGACCATTCCAAAGTTACTGAGCGACTTTCCAAATTCGTCACGTGAAAGTTTATAGGAGCGTTTGGCAACTCTTGAACCAATAATTTTATTACGCCAAGGTCGTGTCCATAAATGTTTTTGGCAATGCATGTGTAGTCTCCGTTATCATGTAGTGAAGTTCGCAAAATGGTTAGATCTGAAGAAAGGCCATGAACCATAGGTGATTTTTTTATGCGATATTGAAATTTAAAAGAATCATCAATTGTATTAGTTTTGGTTCTCCACGTTATATCCAAAGGATGGTCTCCTGTTGCTTCGCACCGCATTGTCACATGCTCCCCTCGCCGTATGTTGACCAGTTTTTTAAAAACGGTAACAGAGGGTCCCACTATAAAGAACCAGTTATTTGACGTCATAAATATAGATGATTTTTAAGCTCTTACCATGAACTGCTACTTTAACAAAAGCGCTAAGACCAGCACCAATACCATTACTAACTTCGCACAAAAAGCTTCCCTCATGTTCGCGGGTTACATTGGGAATTATCATTGTATCATTTATATGAGTACCAATAACGGTATGTAAAATATCAATTTCTTTTCTGTAACCTAATTTTCTATATTCTCCGGAATTACCTAAAAGAAAGTTTTAGTATATTTAGTGAACTATATTAAGTAAACTATACTTAGTAACTATAATAGTTTTTCCACAAGTATGAAACTTGCCTATCAATTGCTTCCACTGTAGAGTAGGTGTTGGGAAACCATCAGCCACGCACGATAGCTTAACGGAGCACCCCAGAATTGCATCTTGGTCGCTTGGTTTATGGATCCATTTTGGAGGAACTGAGTTAAAAAATTGAATTTTTTAAAAAATGGAGTGAAACCCAAATGTTTCACGTGCATTATGTTCTAATATTTTTCATGCACTATGTTAGTATATTATATACATTCACAACATATGAAAATATTTTTAAATAAACTAAATGTATGCTTAAAAAGAAATTTATGAACTTACCTTAAGAACATGAAATTGAGTGGAGGATTTTGAATACGTGAAAATATTATACAGTTAAAAAATATAAAAGCATAAATAAATATTTTTTATGTTTCCGTAGCACACACATACTCACCGTATGATATAGTTTAGATCTAGACTAATCCCAGGAATCTAGACTAATCCCAGGAATATAAATTGTGATACAATTGGTTCTCGAAGGGCTTGAAATTAAAAGAAACTCTTACACTCCTAAATAAAAGGTACTGTTGATGATATTAAACTGAACATTTCCTACTCAAACTAGGGAATTTAAATTAGCATCATTTTTGTCTTCAATATCATCGTTCTTTTAAATTCGAAATGCAAAAAACTAAAAATTTAAGTAAGCTTTCTGTAGTTATAGATTGGCATCATATCTGATTTAATGTTTTTGGAATGTTTTGAACCGTGAATAACGAAAACGATCTAAATTTAGTGTTGTGACCTGATAAATTGTCTGTACAATGATAAATTGACTGTATCGACATTTATATCGTTGCTATGTTTGGATGAGTGGGGGGATTTTCTATTTCTAGTGCTATTTTCCATAGCACGCGTGCATAAAGTAGGAAATTCTGTCGCAGCGCTGCCGGCATACTGACAGTGTGAGCAAATTTCAAATTTTTTTAGAAGCTCTCTCATTTGCTCTCATTTTGACAGCCTAAACTTAAAATCAAAATGTTTCCACTAAGAAAAATTGTCTTAAGAATTGGGTTGGAAAAAGTTTTATCAATAGAAAATATAGTTCTCTCTGCTACGCATACACTCAAATTTTAAACATGTGTGCGTTTTGCCCCCCTTTTGTTTGGATACGCATCGACCCCGGAGTTGTAGCCCATTCTACAGTATTTCCCTAGCTATTCAATTACACATAAAACACAAAACATTGAAGAAAAACCAACTTCGGGCGGAGCCCGTTAAAAGAGTTAAATATTTATATTAATAATCATATCACAAACATCGGATATAGTTGGCTAATCCTTATTTAGATACAAAATGTAAAAAAAAGTCCCAAGCTTCTATATTCAAAAATACCAATGTTGGTATTTTTACCAAATACCATTTCCAAACGTTCAGCTACCATATAGCTAAAGATTCTATAGTTTAGAATATAGTAGGCCAACCTTATGATATTTGGTAGGTTGGATTAACTGACCAGTAATAGAATCTGTACGAAGTCCCAACTTTGTGTCCAAACTGATTTTATTTTGTAAAATTCTCTTATAAGAAAGATACATTAAAGTCTTAAATCTATTTAAAACTACTTATCAACGCACAGTACGCTGACCTGCTATGCGACCCTTTCTCAAGTGCGATAAGCACACCACTTATGTATGTGTTTGTGTTAGGCTGCATGGGATCGGTTTTAGACCATGCTGTTTGACTCGTTTCATGGGTCCGATCCCTTGAAACTCTAACTTAAGAATTTGTATATACAATAGTGTTCAATGCTTGAAAATTCTGGAAAGGGCTCCAAAAAAGGGGGGTAAATTTAATGTGTTTTTATTTAAAATTTTTTTGTTTAAATAAATGAATCTTTCTGTCGGGTCAGGCAGCAGCACACCGGTGTAATTTTAATGTTTAAATATGTTGTTTGCGAGATGTCAGGCTCAATAGAGCTGACTGACGGACCACCAGTTAAAAAATGAGCCAGGGTCAAAACATCAAGGTCTGCAGGATTTTCTGAAAGAGACAATAAGTGTCGTGAATTTATAACAGCCCCAATATGGCACAGCAGCGTTCGCATCCTCGAATCCAAGAACTGCAGATCCGACAGCTCGGTAAAAATGGTGCTTGGCGGTTTTAACAGCCGCTTCCACAAACCACCGAAATGCGGAGATCGAGGAGGAATAAAATGCCATTCGATGGACTCCGTAGAGCAAAACTCCAGCAGTGCCCGTTGATGCTCTTCGCTTAAAAATAATCGGCGCAGCTTCTTTAGCTCGTTTTTGGCTCCAGCAAAGTTGGCTGCGTTGTCAGACCAAATATGTTAGGGCCTTCGGCGGGTGCATATAAACCGCTTCAAAGCCTGCAAAAAAGACATTGTGGACAGATCCCTTACAAGCTCCAGGTGGACGGCTTTGGTAGCAAAACAAATGAAAATTCTAACGTAACATTTTACTGAAGCCTTATTACGGACTTCCGGCTTATAATAGAACGGTCCACAAAAATCCACACCAGTGACTCCAAAGACCTGGGAGCCGCTAACTCTTTGCTCTGGGAGATCAGCCATAATGTGCTCCAACAACCGAGGCTTAGTCCGGAAGCATCGGATGCATTTGTGTATTGCCTTCGTCACGGTTTTTCTTCCCCCAATTGGCCAATATTTTGACCGAATAATTGCCAACAGTGCGCGAGGTCCCGTATGTAAATTTCGCTCATGGAAGTCAACAATTATAGCCTGCGTAACTGGATGGCTTCTTGGAAGTATAATTGGATGCTGACTATCAAAATCCAACGACGTATTTTTTAGCCGACCGTCTACGCGCAACAGTCCAAATTTATCCAAGAAGGGAGAGTATGAGGCAAGGGCACTGGATACCGCTATCTCTTTTCCATTTTGAAGAGCCTTTATGTCCTCCCAAAAATGCACACGCTGCACTAGCCGCAATAACAGCTGTGTTCCAGATTTTATATCGCTAGCCGTAACACCGCTGTGGTGAATTCGTTGAGAAAACTTGTATACGTAAGCGAATACCCTCTGCAGTGCTGGAAACGAATTAGCGTACTTAGAAACCGCTGTTATATCCACGTACGGAGACTGAATGAGCAGGACCCTTGCACGTAACTCCAGGGTTGATCTCTCAGATGGGACCGCGGTTGGCCATGCCTCTTGGGATCCAATGAGAAACGAAGGACCGTGAGACCACAGCTTATTCTCAACCAATTCATTGGGAAGAGCACCACGCGACAGGATATCTGCTGGGTTCAAAGAAGTGGGAACATACCGCCACTCCATTTCTCTAGTTAGCTTCTGAATGGTCGAAACTCGATTGGCGACGATAACATTAAACCGAGAGGGTTCTTCTCGAATCCAAGACAGAGCCACAGCAGAATCGCACCAGCAAAACTACTTTCCAACGTAGACCTTCAACGGCTCTACTTCCGACATAAGTCGAGCCAACAACTCGGCTCCCGATAACTCCAGCTTAGGCACCGTAACAGTCTTTAATGGCGCAACTCGGGACTTCGAACAGAGTAAATAGCTTGCAGATCCTGCGCCCCTGCACACGACATAAACGCATGCCCCATACGCCTCAATGCTGGCATCACAGAATCCATGGACCTCCACCTCGGATTTCGATGTTAGCACCCATCTAGGGAATTCGGCGCGCTGCGTACTAACAAAGCTGCTACAAATCATAATCAGTCGCAGTGGAGAGCTTGAGGAAGACTTTCATCCCAGGACAACTTCTCACGGCACAGTTTCTGGAGAAAGATCTTTGCCTTTGAAATTACAGGGCCAACAAGGCCTAAGGGGTCATAAAACCGAGCGACTGAAGAAAGCACAATGCGCCTAGTGGGCTTTGAGATTCACTGAATCCCTTCAAAAGAAAACAGCAAGCGGTCAGTTGCAGGATCCCAAGCAAGACCCAGTGTCTTAGTGAAGTTGCTACCATCATCAAACTTTAGGAAAGACTCCCGATCTTCTTCAGGAACCTTATCCAGCACGTCAGCAACATTGGAGCACCACTTCCTTAACCGAAAATGGCCTTTGGCAAGGATCGCGGATGTTTGCTGCATTATGCTAATAGCTTCATCTATAGAGTCGCCTCCGGAAAGCAGATCATCCACATAAAAGTCGCGACGCAGAATTTCGGCCCCCTTTGGAAACATTAATTGCTCATCATCTGCCAACTGATGCATTGTCCGAACTGCTAAAAATGAGGCAGGCTTCGTTCCATAGGTGACCGTTTCCAGCTTAAAAACCTGTAACTCATCCTGGGTGGAATCCCGCCAAAGAATACACTGAAGATAGCTGTCCTCAGGGAAAACCCTGACGCAATGATACATTTTACAAATTTCTCCAGTAATGGCCACCCGATGGCATCGGAACCTTAACAGAATATGCAGTAACTTTGACTGAATAACTGGGCCAGACATCAACACGTCATTCAATGAATATCCAGAAGTGGTGACAGCAGATCCATCAAAGACAACCCTGAGCTTGGTTGTTGAACTGTCCTCCTTTAAAACACAATGGTGTGGAAGAAAGTATTGACCAGTGACGCTCGCATCAGAAGGGACTGGAGACATGTGACACAACTCCAAATACTCCTTTATGAAGGCAGCATATTGCTCCTTCAATTGAGGACGGTGACAGAGCTTCCTTTCGAGGGAAAGAAATCGTCGAACGGCTTGGGGGTACGACTCTGTCGGGTCAGGCAGCAGCACACCGGTGTAATTTTAATGTTTAAATATGTTGTTTGCGAGATGTCAGGCTCAATAAAGCTGACTGACGGACCACCAGTTAAAAAATGAGCCGGGGTCAAAACATCAAGGTCTGCAGGATTTTCTGAAAGAGACAATAAGTGTCGTGAATTTATAACAGCCCCAATATGGCACAGCAGCGTTCGCATCCTC